CAAATAACATACACTGTGTGTTCCATAAATGTTTGATTACTCTTATTTAGTAGACAAAAATTGAGGAGAGTCTCCATTTAACCCCAAACACTTACTCAAAATCATAGTGTTGAATAATGTCTACTTGTGAACCAAACTTGGATCTAAATCCAAAAATATGCTCTTTAGACTTATCCTGTTTCCATGAATACAAGTTTGCTGGTGAAATATGCATGCAAATTTAAAGCATATGGATTATTGCAACCTGTAATATACCAAAAATGTACCGAACAGCCGCCTACAACAATATGTCTCATTGTCAAACCAAGTTGATCTTGAATGCCTGCTTTAAAGTCAATTTAAAAACATTAAAGACAGTTAGTGCAGAATATGGAATATATATGTTTTGTTCTTAATGGTAATAGTTTCTAATAAATTACTCAGGACAAAGTTTCTTTCTCAGTTATGTGTGCTCTGTGCAAACATAGTTTCTAATATAAGTCTCCTGTTATGCCAGGAATTTTGTTTTCATTTCTGTTTGATAGTCTCAGTTTCCTCAAGAAGATATCCATAGATTAATGAGTAGAGTCCAGAAGAATAGTTGTCCTGTTTGCTGCCCTCAGCAGTGAAACAACATACCATTCTGCCGTCGAGGGATCTAGTCCAAAAGCTTTTTGAAGGAGTAGGGAAAGTAAAAGGAAGACAGAAAAGGAGAAAACCAGGGTTGAGCTCAGAGTGTATGAGAACTCCTAGGGAATTAGAATTATAGGTGGTCTGGAAACCTAATATGTATATAGATGGCTAAGCTTTTCAACTACATGAAAGACTCAGTAGAAATCAAATGAAAGTTAGAACTTGCATGTATACTTTGGATACAGTATCCTTTGTTGGATAGTCCCTGAAGGATAACCCTAAGGTAAAAATCCTTTGAAACAGTTGCATGTTACCTCAGCTTTTAATAAGGAGAATGTATGAAGCTAGAATTTCACTGCCAAATTTTAGACATAACTGACTTGTTTATAAATTTCTACAAAATATATCTGTATTAATATGTCTATGTTAGTATGAACAAATGAAATATAGAGCCAGGATTGTTAAATGGTTCAAAATTCCACTTATTGTTTCTCTGAGTACTTTTTGGGAAGCTGTAGGTTGGTAGGAATGACATTGATGTGTCATTTTTAAAAACTGTGGTTTAAATGAAATCATGCCATATATTTAACTTTTCAGGGATTTTAAGGTTTAAGTTTACTTATTCATTGATTTTTTAAAAATATCATAAAGGGTAGTCATAAAATATGAACCCAATCATAGGACTTTAACTTGGCCCATTTCCAGATTTTTAAGTCCTAGGTTTTGTTTTTTTTTAATTTCTTTTTTTAAGAGTTGAATTGGCACTTTACTATGTCTTGGAAAATTTGGCTAATAGTGAATGGGAGTTTGCAGTTACTAAATATCAAAGGATATCAAAAGATATACAGATGGCATTATATATACATGGCATAAGATGTGGGAGATCTGTTAGATTGAGGAATTAGTTTCAGATCAGACCAGACATTGGAAAATTTATGTAAAAAGACTGGCTAACTACATCAATAAATGATTAAGAGCCATTATTAATTTTAAGTGAATGAAGTAGCGTAGTTTAGTACTTTTGATAAGCCTTATTCTCAGAATATTAATTAATATTTTCAAGGCATATCATCCAGAATCATTACTGCTTCTTCATGTATATTCATGTATTTTAGAGACCTTAACTTAGCCTAGCTTTTTCCCCATTTTTAATTTACATATTTTCAAGTTAGAGAAAAATGTATTGAGGTTCCCTTCTTTTTCATATATATTACTGTACATAATTCTGTTTCATTCCAAGGAGTTATTTCATGACATTTTGGCTTAAGTGATTAGTCTCCCCAGTTACATCCTTAACAAGTGAACTATGCCTTCTATTGTATAGTTACTTTTTCATGAAATATCCCTTTCTGTTTTTTTTTAAATTTTACTGCAATTTTATCAGAATTAACATGCTAATCAGTTTTCTGAGCAGCAGTTTTATTGTTAAAATGTTAATATAAGTCTCTAAAATGAAATATTTAAAACTTTTTGTTGTTTATGCAGCAAATTACTGAAATCTATGTTAGTACTGTGCTAAGCACTAAGGATAAAGCAGTGGCAAAAAAGGACAAAATTCTCTGACCTATGGCATTGGCATTCTGGTATGGGGACACAAACCACACATGAAAAAGAAAATGGCGTGCAAAAGGTTCTGGCAACACCTGGTACGTGCTGATACTCCTGGGCGAAGAACTGACTGGCTGCACTGGGCTGCTGTTCTCCAGGCATCCAGGAGAGGGTGATTGGGCCAGGCACAGCGGGACACACTGGATTAATCTCTAGGAAAGGGACCATCCTACTGCTGACCACACATATTGGAGCTTCAGAGGACCCCCACCTGATCATGTAATAATGCGGGCTTTTGCAGTGGAGTGGCTGGTAGTGGAGAAAAACACCTTGGAACTGGACACCAGCTGTGCTGATAGAACTTGGAGACCTTTTGAGAAATAAAGCAATCAAGATTGTGTACATCTTGCACCGGAGGTTCCAGGTTCCGGAGCCATTGGTGCCAGCTAGTTCCTGCAGGCAACTTAGAGAACTCCACTAAGGGTCATTCAATGGACAAATCTACTTGACTTTCTTTAGTCCGCCTCCTGACCCAGGAGTCTAATTAAACATAAGGCTTTCCTTCTGTTTCCTGATGTCCTTATCAGTGACATGAATTAACGGGCTATTCATATTTAAAAAAATAGAGGAAATAGAGAGTTGTTCATCCATTGACCTCCTTCCCCTACTTCCTGAGTTTGGACATGTTCATGTTTCACCTATCAGGGTCTGTCAACCTCTGGGATGAACCAGATTGTCCTTTTCCCAGAGTAATAAACTTCCCAAAGACTCAGCAGTCACTATTTTGCCATCATAAGAAATTACAGGGCAGAGGAAAATGGCTGTAGAATCATAATTGCAAAGTTAGTGAACACATTTCTACCCATCCAGGTTGTCTAAGAAACATCAGCAGTGGTCATAATGAGTGAACCTGTCCATCATCATGCTGGTGCTCTTTTGCCAGATGCGTAGGCTTGGCAGTCACAGTCTAGTCAGAGAGGCCTCTTGGGCTTCAGTATCTCCAGGGGGAGACTTTCCTCCAGGGGGACTGCTTATTCCAATCTTCCAGATTAATGACTACTGGGGTTTCTCCACTAGTACTAACCCTTCCTTGTATTATTATATATCCCAGCAAATCTCTTAGGTCCATTCTAGGTTTTTGCATCAATCCATCAGTTCTATTTTGTCCGCTTGTTTTCAAGCCTTATAGTTTCTTTACTATTGTTTTATATAGTCAGTGTTCATGTAAACTGATAACATAGGTATAATAATAGAGTTCTAATGGACATACTGGGTGAATCTGGGAAGGCTTTAGAGAACATTTGAGGTAAGGCTTGAAGGGCAGAGAGGCAGGGAAAAAAGACCTTCTTGACCATGGTGTCATGGAAGAATAAAAGGGCATGGTGTATTCAGGCAGTGGTGAGAAGTTCTGTGTGGCTAGGACTGTATAAGAATAATAGGAGATAAATGTTGTACTAGGTGCAAAAAAACAAAACATAAGGCTAACAGAGAAAAAACTCAGATCATGATAGCTCAAAGATTAGAAACGATCCAGAATATATTTAATGAAGACATATAGGGTCTGACTGTCTCCCATTTGCTCACATATTCTTTTAAATAAATAATTCAGCCTTCACTCATCTGAGTTTATAGTCTTGCCCCACCCCCAATGGTCCAACATTCAGCAAGATAAACACTGACACTAAGACTTCCTAGGAATGAGCCTTCCTAGCAAGGTGGAACCACACTATCTAACCAAAAGGTTGGTCATCAGTGCATCCTTCGGATTGATTTATGACCAAAAGGAGGAAATGTGGATGGAAAAAGGGCCACAGGTTAAACCTGACAAGCACAGGAAACTGAAAAACCACATAAGATGGCATGAGCATAAAAACTTTCATAACCAAGTGGGCCATGGTGGGAAGTCACATCTCTAGCTTCCTTCATAAAGTTAGTCTGTGCCTGTTCCGTGGGCCTCTCTGTTTTACTGCAACTAAGATAACATCTTAGAAATGTCAGTAATCCTTTTTATGGACCAGAGCTGGAAACTGCAAATTTCCTGGTTATCATGCTTATCTCCTGATTACCATCTCTTTGTGCTGTGAAAAAGCTGTTAGCTATCCTGCACCCACCTATGTAAAAGAAGTACCTGTCTTTCCAATTTACTTGTATCCAATCCCAGAGGTTTCCCTGCTTTGCTCTCTCCCACCCCCTTAATCTGTCACCAATGGATTTCATGTAACCTTCCTCCTTTGATTTTATGTATAAAATAAGCTGCAAACCGCCATTTTGCGGAGCATTTCCTCAATATGTTGAGATTTTGCTTCCCGGCAATTGTCGACAGTTTGGTTCAAATAAACTCTTATAAGTTTTCAAAAAAAAAAAAAAAGAATAATAGGAAATAAGTTAGGAAGAGTGTTGGGACAGGTGCCTCCATCATATTTAAGGCATTTCCTGACTTATTTTATAGGGAGAAGGACAGCAGGTCATAGGTAGCCTATTCATGTTCAGAATTTAAAAATTTCTTATAATAACATTCATTTTTATGTTTAATGACATTAATAATGATATTTATGTCTTTCATTTGCATGTGTTCAAAATTTTTTCTCCTATACATTACCTAATTTTATCTTGATGGTATGTGAGCAACACAGACCTGAAAATATAGTATTCTAATATTTAAAGTTGAAGAAACTAAGGTATTGAGAGATTACATGATCTACTCACAATGGCCATGTTTCGGGTAATACCAGATCTTCTGATTCTTAGTTCCATATACTTGTTGGATTTTATTTGTGTAAATACATGCTTTTTTGTCTTTTTTTTCCCCCCTCAAAGTATTATTATTTTTTTCTCTGTAGGACTTGGCTTTTACCCTGGAAGAGAGACAACAATTGAATATTCATGGATTGTTGCCACCTTGTTTCAACAATCAGGATATCCAGGTCCTTAGAGTAATTAAAAATTTTGAGCGCCTGAATACCGACCTTGACAGGTAATACATTATTGAAGGTGATTTTTATATTTCTCTTAGCAATTATCTAGTTTATTTTTTATTAAATGAGGCAGTTAAAACATTTAATGATTTGGAAAGAGTAGTCAACTTTGAGGAGAGTTTGCCTTTAAATACAATGATGTTTTT